CCATCATGGCACCGGACACCGGTACCCATCCCTACTCTTGTCATCAGTATTTTTTAAAAATGGCGATGTTGCTTCGCCTCATTGCAAAGTGAGTGGTTTGACAACCAGTCAGCTCCATTAACAGGCAGGTTTACCTTCAGCATATAACATTACAGTAGCATTAAAAAGGCCTTAATAAAACTGATCCTTATGTGCTTGTTCTCTGCCCTCCATAGCTAATTGAGTGGCAGGCTTGATTGGATCCTGTTGAAAGCCACAATAGGGGTCTTTCTTTGTTTCCCTCCGAAGCATGTCAAATTAAGTGGCTGAGGGAGGCTGCTGCTTTAAGAGAGCTGTTTTTTTAACATGTCTCTGGTCATTAAGAGGAGGTGTATGGAGAGCGAGAAAAACCAGACTAAAAAAAGAGAGAGACTGTGTGTGTGTGTGTGTGTGTGTGTAGTGGTTTTTCCAGAGACTTTGGTCTGCCTGTCGCCCACCTGCTCCACATGGGGTGGCAGGGCCTTAGGGATAAGGGAGGGAAATGAGACACATGGGGTTTATTGGAGGGGCTTGACTGTGTGTGTGTGTGTGTGTGTGTAAGAGAGTGAGTGAAAGAGGGTGCGTATATGTGTCAAGTTTAGTATGCTGACCAGTTGTCTGATGGCCACATGTGTGTAAATAAATATATACATTCAAGGGTAGTGAACATGTGTGCTGGTGGGTGTGGAAGCTAGTCTGTGATCGTGTCTGCAGTGGCTTGCATGTGTGAGGTGACCCGGTGCAACAGTCCTACACTTGCTAAAAGCAGACACATGGCCGAGGTATGTGACCCCCGAATGACTGGAATGGCTGCCTCAGATTAGACTGAGTCGGATGACCGCCATTGATCCGGACACAGAGAAGAATGCTGGGAGTCGATAAAATGGACACACAAACGACGGCCCTTCCTCAAACATCCATCGGCTCTAACAGAATGTCGATAAAGACACGTGAAAGTTAAATGACAAACAGTTTAAGGCAAACAGCACAGACAATTACCACTTCAGAAATCAATGTGAAAGTGAGCCAGCAGTTCACCCAGCAAGACTCATGCCACGAAACAACGCACAATGGTGGAAACGAGCCCCCCCACAAAAAAAACTAGGCAACATCAATAGTTGCTTTTATGACGGTTGTCCAGTCAAATGGCTTGTTTATTCTGGAGCCAGCATCACACAGCTCTGCCATCATGCCTCTAGACCAGTGAGCCTCAGTTCTTGGTGTGCAGCAGCTTGCAGATGGCCACTGTGAACGCAGTCCAAAGCCCAACACTGTTTCAGGCTGTTTTTTGAATGACTGCTCAGTGTATTAAATCCCTTTGGCTCCTGTTTTGGTGCTGGCAAAAAAATCACAAGATTTTTAAGCTGTGAGATGCATACAAACATAGCAACTAATGAAATTGTAAATAGACAAAAGTGCCTTAATCCATAGAGAGAAAGAGTCAAGTCTTTGGCAATGTGTGAACTGAGCAACAGATGCAGCGATTGATAATTTATCCTTAGTTTTAAGTCTTGAATGAAGTGTATTGATATGGTGAAATCAGGCGATCGAGACCTGTTTTAGCCAGTGTGTCTGTACAAGTGTAAAGAAAATAGCCTCTGCTAATGAGGTCATATATCTCTTCTAATATTTGTAAAACACCATTAGCCTTATTAGACTCTTATATATTGGGTGTTAATTATGTATTCAGTTCATGACTGCTGTAGGTTTTTAATATTATGAATATGATTCCATGGCCAAGTTTCTATCAAGCGCATTATCCAGAGGGATCCTACAGCTTGATAACATATCTGACTGCAGTCTTTTCATATGCAGCCTTTTAAAAGCCCGCTTGTTTGTTAGGATTTAATAAGACTGGCACTGGATTGAGTATAGTATTGATTTCTTTCACTTTAACTTAAATATTTTCTCTTATCAAAAGGGATGCATAGCAGATCTTCTGCTAATAAGATCTTAAATAGAAATAAAGTAGAATAGAAATACAACATGGAAGTTATGCCAAGAGGTGTTTGTAAAGTCATACTAATGACCATTAGATTCAGCCTTGCAGCAAACTAATTGCTTTGAAGCAATCAACAATACATTGTCCATGATAAACTGAGACATGGTGTATACTAAAGTGCAGGTAATGAACATGAAAACATCTTAATGTGCAAGCTTGGTGGTTTATGCGTGTCTGCTGTCATGTGTATTTTAGATGTTTAGCAGCAGAGTCACGTTTGGTAAAAGCAATAATTTGTTCAGTGAGAGACGGACGCGGGAGGACTCGCATCCCAGAGGTCCATATTTCATGGTCAGGGTACACTGTGTACTCCATTCAGAGGGAATTCATCATGGTGCAGTGGGAGATTCATCATTGTGATCTTTGCACGTGTGTGTGTGTGTCAGAGTAATATGGTCTTGTGTGTGTGTCTTCAGCTGTAAACAAAATAGCTCGTCACAAACCTCCACTTTCATGAGAACTGCTTTTTAGTTTGGAAACTTTGCAAACTAAGTCTAACCTTAAAGAGACTCGGTTACTTAAACATTTATTTTATTGTTTTATTACTTTTTGTTTAGATCAAGTTCTTTTGGGATATATTTTTTGTAGTTTTCAGTGACATCTTGGCAAATTTTGTTAATCCTGTGCTCCCCAGTGAAATTGCTGGACTCTGGAGAATGTTTGATTAGGTGAAACAGATAGACCGGCTCGTCACATGCGAATATATGAATGAAATGGGATCACCAAGACTTTCTGTTTGGATGCTTTAAAAAAAGCTGTTGTTCAAGTTAACCACTGTTTTTGCCAATTGCTCTCCACAACTGTTTGCCTGCATGCAACCAAAGACTGCCCAAACCTGTTTGATCAACAGAACTCAGACTATAAGCAGTTTCCAGTACCAGACGACGTCTCATCGACTGCCTACAGATTCTCTATATTCATAAGGAGACAGTCTTATTAACACTCTGCTTTTATCCCCTCACAATGTCTAACCACCTTTATTTGGAGGTAAATAGAAAGGATAAGGGCAAAATAGTGGTCATAATCACCCACTGCTCAGCAAAACCGTGTGTGTGTGTGTTTGTGGACATCAAAGGCAGGTGCAATACTTCAACTTTGGATGAAGAAGTCAGTCTAGAAATTTCAGAATTGCTTACAGAAGATAGACGTATGGTTTATATATATATATATATTTTATTTGGCACATAAGTTAAACTGACATGGATATTTGTTTAAAGTCTGTACGATCATGTCACGGCC